CATTCTGCAAACGCCTGCCCATGCGCCCTCTTAGTGAACCCTCCCTTCTTCCTTTTGTCTAGCCAGCATCTTCTCAAGTTTTTTTTTCAGCTAGTTCAGTCTACAGTAGTCTCTGGCTTCTTTGAAATCCAGTAGTAATCATCACACTGCCCTATTTCATGCTCTCTATAATTTTTTTCATGTGTGTTAGTCTTTTCTTCTCATTCAATTTTTAAAGCTTAATGAGGGCAAAGACGAGGTCTTTTAATGTTTATATCTCTCTTACAGTAAATACATATCACAGAACTAGACATTTATAAAGGAGCTCTAGTGCTACAGTGGTTAAAGCATTTGGCTACTAACCAAAAGTTTGGCAGTTAACAGACATAAAGGTAAACGGAACCACTCTGTGGAAGAAGGATGAGGCAGTCTGCTTCTGCAAAGATTTACAGCCTTGGAAACCCAATGGGGGTCGCTATGAGTTGGAATTGACTCCATGGCAGTGAGTGATAGGCACTTCTTAGGGAATTGACAGAGAATCATTGGTGGGTTGTTGAGTATCAATATTTGCTAGGAAATTACTGACTGCTCTGCAGAGTGATTTATAGACATAAACACCAACCTGTTCTTTAATTCTACAAAAAAAGCAAGTCACCTCTAGATTTTCAAGACCTGATAATTAATACACCTCACATATATTAATAGATGGACTAAGGATCATTTTTCAAATCCTCTCTTCAGATTCTTTCTGCAGTCTGTGAAGAGCTGTTTTTGGAAACTGCATTAGAAATGAAGAGGGAAAGGCTTGGTCTGGAGGGACAGTATCAGTTTTCTGTCTCATGCCTGGCAGAGGCTGTGGTTGTGCTACAGGTGAAGCTTTAAATCAAGCTGGATTTGCGGAGCTTAAGCAGCTTCTGGAACTAAAGAGGATTCTTCCATAGCAGATTACCCAGAGAGAAAAGAATTGAATGTGGTAGGAATTACCAATTACAACGAAAAAATAGAGCAAAAGTAGAAGTAAGCCGTGAAGACAGAAAATTCCCCATTTTTCTTCGGTTAAATATACGTTGGGAGAGGAAAGAAAAAGAAAACTAGGGCTTTGACCAGGAAGAAAAACAATTACTAGAAATATGACTAGTAAACATAGTCCTAAAAATCTGGTTAAGAAAAGTCTGGGGCAGCTTATCACCTCCTCCTTTTATACTTGTCTGGTTTAGTGATGGTACTAAGAGATCCAAAAATATAAAGGGCAGGAGAAGGAAGCTGCAAACACCAGTATTGTCTATTCTCAAGTATGTATCCTATTGAAAGAAAACAGAAACAGGCTAAATTTTTTCTTATTTTATAGTAGAAAAAAAATAGATATAACAAAAATTAGCCATTTTAACCATTTTTAAGTGTATAATTCAGTGACATTAATTGCATTCACCATGTTGTGCTACCATCACCACTATCCATTTCCAAAGAAAGTTTTTCATTGCCCAAGACACAAACTCAGCACCTCTGCAGTAATTTCTATTATCCCCTTTCCCCAGTTCATGGTAACTACTGAAAGACTTGTGTCTTTATGTATTTTCCTGTTATATACACTCTACATAAGTGGGATCATACAGCATTTGTCCTTTTATGTCTAACTTATTCTACTGAGCATAATGTTTTCAATGTTAATTCATGTTATAACTTCTGTCTGTCCCTTGTTTCTCTTTATGGCTGAGTAATAGTCCGTTTTATGTTTACACATTGCTTATCCATTCAAAATGCATTGTATCCACCTTTTGGCTATTGTGAATAATGCTGCAATAAACATTGATGTGCATGTATTTGTTTGAGTTTAAACAGGCTTAGTTTTAAAAAACACGTCAACTTAGAATGAAATTTGGACCTCAGATTTCAGTATAGCAGACTCTTGGATTCTAGGAACTCTATTCTATCAGCCCAAATTCAAAGCATTCTTTCTCTTAAATGGGAGTCAGAAGGGATTAAAGCAAGCTAATCTTCAGTGTCAATAAATGTAAATACAAATTTGCTTGGAGGATCTGAAATGTAAACAACCTAAAGAGTGGAGATTTTGGATATGAACAGATATATGCATTCCCATATGCATTGCAGCACTAATTACAATAGCAAAGGGATAGAAACAACCTAAGTGCCCATCAACAGATGAATGGATAATCAAACTATGGTACATACACACAATGGACTACTATACTACATTAAAGAATAATGAAAGAATCAGCGAATCACCTCACAATGTGGATGAACTTGGAGGACATTATGCTGAGTGAAATAAGTCAATCACAGAAGGACAAATGTTGTATGAGTCTATTTTTGTAAAAATTCAAAATAAGGTTTACACAGAGAAATAAATTTTCTTTGATGGTTACCAGGGATGGAAGAGGAGGCTGTTTTTATCTAGAGCTAAGAAGAGCAAAGAAAATCAAAGACACATGGAAACAGTCCAAAATACTAAGGACCATGAGAATCTCAACCTATAGAACCCTGAGACCAGAAGAACTAGATGGTGCCCAGCTACAAATGTCAACCACTCAGAGAGGGATCAAAATTGGAGATCCTGTATAGAATGGGGGAAAAATGTGGAATAAAACTCAAAATCATAAAAAAGACTAGACTTACTGGTCCGATAGAGACTGATGAAACCCCCAATACAATGGCACCAAGTTACCCTTCAGGCCTGGAGTTGAACTCACTCCCATGGCTTAACTCTCAACCAAACAATAGTCCTACAAGCTGAGCACCTACACCAGGGAGATGCATTCTTTAGAACAATCAAGCATGGGGGATCAGAATGGCAGCATTTGCACAGAGAGAAAGGAAGGGAGGCAGGAATGTGTAGACAAGAAAGACACAGGGAAAGATTAACCACAGGGAGGAAGTGGGAGCTGAGATATTACATTGTGGGAGAATGTAAAAAAAAAAAAAAAAAAAAAACAATAAGCAACCTACCTTTGGATAATGAAGACTGGTGTTTAGTAATGTCTCTATATCTCTGTTCATGAGCAAAGTGTTATTTACTTTTCGAATCACTTTAACCCCTGTTATCCTTACAACATAGTTAAAGTAAGTATGGTCGATATTTTTCCCAGTATAAAGATGAGTTAAATTAAGGCACCATTGAGTTAATGACTTTGTAAGAACTCTGCTTCTAAATGGGAGGTCTGTAATTGTTGTTGTTGTCATTGTTGTTATGTGCCGTCAAGTCGGACCCGACTCATAGCGACCCCTCCTTGGGTTTCTGAGGCAGTATCACTACGGAAGTAGATTGCCCAACCTTC